CATCATCAAGATCATTGGATGAGACTATGGAAACAGTTTCAATGATTGTGTTTTCCATTAGACAATAAAGGTCATTGGATAACTTGCCCTTTATGATAGTTAAAGCTCCTTTAGATACCTTCAAGACACCATCTTAACCACTATATTTGTAGAGCTTCTTATCTAACAAACTCAAAAATATCAAATTCCTTTTCATGTCAGGGACATGTTTCACCTCAAGTGTCTTTACTATACCATCAAACATCTTCATTCCAATTGTGCCATCCCAACAACTAAGAGAGAGAAATTATCTCTTAATTATACAGTACCCATATCAATAAATTTATAAGTTGTAAACCAATCATGCCTAGGACATATATGGAAGCAACACGCGGAATCTAAGATCCACGAATCCATTGGGTTACCATTGGTAACTGCAAGAACACTATCAATTTCTTCAAAAGTATCAAAGTTTTCTCCAATCACGTTGGCAGTATTCTCGAACTTATTGATCTTTTCATCATCCTTGAATTTGATAAAATCCTGACGAAAGTGCCCTTTGTGACCACAATTCCAAGAAGTTTTCTTTTTTGCCCTAGATTTACCTTTTCTATCTAAGCTTTTCTCTCTATCTTTTCATTTATTCATAATCGGGTCTTCTACTTGATTTTCATTCCAAATACCACTAACTTTCTTCTTTAATTTTTTAAAATTTAAAGATGCTCTTATATCCTCGAAAGTGAGAATGTCCTAGTCATATAACATAGTATCCACGAAGTTTTCATACGGTTAAGGCAAAGAATATAAAAGAATTAGGGCTATGTCTTTATCTTCAATTTTAACATCAGTATTCTTTACATCAAGAATAACTCTATTAAATTCATCAATATGGGTGTTAATGGACGTACCTTCACACATTTTAAGAGTATACAATCATGGCTTTATATAAAGTTGATTTGTCAAGGATTTGATCATCTAAATACTCTCGAGTTTAAGTCACACTGCAGCAGTAGATTCTTCATCCGGGAATTCTCTTAACACTTCATCAAACAATGCTAGGAGAATAATACTATGTGCTTTCTCCATTAGGTCATCTTTCTCACTATCAGATAAATTTTAGGGAAAATGGTCTTTTCCCTTTAGTGCCTTCAATAGTCATTATTGCACTAGTAACGTACGCATCTTAACACATCACAGGCTGAAATCATTTCTTTCATTCAATTTTTCAATCTCATACTTGATTGACGAAGTTGTTATAACGAGACTCAGATTGACTCAAGACCTTGAAGCTTTGATACCAGTTTGTTGTTGAAATTATAAAATTATCTTTAAAGAGTTTTAATACCCAATCAATAGAATAAAGAAAGAAAGAAATCAAGCGCACCCACAAGAACACAGAAATTTACGTGATTCGATCTTTTGATAACTTATGTACATGAGCACGACAACAGGGAAATATCTATTAAGAGCAAAATTAAAAGAGTATAAAAATAGTTTCAAGCTCAGAACCTTTATGCCATGTACGCTAAAATTACTCTTTTTAAATTTAGATAATAACTATTCTTTAACCTCATAAGATCCTTTTATATGGTAAAGTACAATAATTTTATCCTAATACAATTAGGATATTTTATTCTAATCTAATTAAATTTAAACACTATCTTAACAAAATATACTAATTTAATTAAAATTAAACTATTCTAATCAAACTACAATTCAAAACTATCCTAACAACTCCTTTCTCAACATGGAAGAAAAAATTGAGCTTGGAGGCCTGTTTTAATCCAAACGGCAGGGAGAAATAAGTCGTTATCTCTAAGGAGGAAGTGATAGCGCCGTTGTCAAGCAATGGTGGAAAACATTTCGCGGTAACTATATATATATATAGAGGCACCAAAGGTTTAATACAAGCTTACTTGTTTTTTGGCTAAGAGCAGCGAACATTTGTCGTTTTGTACACGTCGGACTCCAAGTATGATTTTTTTTTTTTATTTCTTCTTCTGCCAAAGACGACCAAAAATTACTACTACTCAAGGGAGGTTGTTCCTAGTGAAAATAATTTTTCAATAGCTCAAGGCCCCTTCACAAAAGATATGCATAAACCTTTCTTAATTGCACGAGTTGTAGAAATTTTCAATGGCAGTGAGCAAAGCTGACTCGTCCTTTTGTGCCAAATTGGGCCAGGTATCCATCGCCAGATCTACATGCAACTTTCTCTCTGTTTTAGTTTCAGGACGATGAATTAAATTTGACTCCGATATCTATCCATTAACTAATAATACAATGCTCGTCTATTAATCGTTACTGTTTGATAAATTGAAAAAATTTAACACAGAAAAATTAAGTATTGAATTTTTAGTTCTAGAAAATGAAGGACAAAAAGTTTATGGTAAAAATTGTTTGAAAATCTGTTGAAAATTAAATACTAAAATACATGTTTTCTTGATTTTTTTTCTCAAGTATTTTACATTAGTAAAAGTTAAAAAAGAAAAATAAATTGCTAAAATGTAAAAAATAAGTTAATGAAATTAAACGATTTTTTTTTTTACATAAAAATGGTTTGAATACATTAGGTAGCATTTAACTATTTAAGATTTTCAAAAATTTTCAATTCAAGCAATCACAAAGGTTGTATTCGTTTGGCATGATCATGGAGTTAAACTGTCAAAAGTAACTCTATGTAGTAAATTTTATTTTTTTTTGAAAATTAGAAACTTCATTAGGAAACAGGGAAAGGGGATTCCCTGTGAAATACAAGTCAATATAGTAATAATGCAGTAGTCAAGCAGCAGTTGATGTGGTTCAGCGGTGCTTGTTGTCTTCCTTATTTTCTCTGGCATGAGAGGCAATTTGGGTGTTTTGATGGTTCCAAAGGGCTGTTCTCTCCGGTAACAGCTACAAAATGGTGGTGAATGAAGTTTGGTCGGATACTCTCTGGTGTACTGCTCTGTCTTCTTATGGGCTTTAAGTATAGGTCCTCTGTTTTGGGGCTTGGTGTTCAGTTGCATTGTTGAAATTATATATATTGAATTGCCTGTTTCAAATTTCATCGAAAATATCGGGTTTCCCATGCAAATCTCTCTTAAAAGGCGTCACGTAGCTTTCATAATTCCTTGTAAATATTATCGGGTATCGAGGGTGGAACTTACCAAAGGAGTCTCTCTTCCTCTTACGTACGGACAGGATAATTGTTTCTAATAAGGTCAAGGTATTTTTACATTTTATATGTTCCTAATTCTGGAATTATTTTAAGGACGTATTCCCTTATATTGACACCTTTTATTCTCAAAACACATTTCATAAAAATCAAACTTTGATTGACAGGAAAAAGAAATACTTTTTTTGTTCTCAACCGAATTAATCTGTATGAATTAAGATAATTTGTTTTTACTCTGAAGTATAAAGAATGGGAAAATCCTAAAATTGTATCAATTTTCTATTAGTAATGAATTAAGATAATTTACTTTATCTGTTAAAAAAAATGATGAGAATATATGGTGCATTATATGGAAAAAAAATATTTTTTAAAATAATATTTTACTTAACCTTAACCAATACTTATAAATACCGGTTCATCAAATCCATACAGAATAAAAGGAACTTCAGTTAAGAAAAGTTTATCTAAATTTTGCCTTGGTCATTGATCTACTTAATTTTATATGTAAAGGAATAGAATGAGAATAACCTTGTTAAGCATAAGAGAATTTAATGTTTTCATCTATTGTTTCATTATAGTATATAGCATCATCCACCAAGAAAATATAAAAGCAGAGTGGTTAAAAAGTTACGTAAGATTTCTTAAAATTAATAACACTTTGACTGATGATTGTAACTGTACTAGTAAAACAGCATGGTCAAAGAACTCAAACAGCCAAATTCACCAAAAAAGAAAACAACAAGACTACCCAGCATCTATCGCTTCACTCAAACACAACAAATTATTCAAACTCTGACCTCAAGACCTGCAACATTACTTACTGCCACTAGAGCTGCAGTCACAGTTAAACGGGCTCCAACATCACCCTACTCATGGCGTCCACCGTAACCTCTGCTGTTTCAGTCTCCTCCACCTCGATTATCACTGTTGTTGTCGCCATCAGCGGCGCTGCCACTGTTACAGCCAGGTTGAACTTGGTTCACAGTACTAATATTATAGTTTCCATGGAGGTTGTGATCATTCATTCCTTGAATAGCTTGATTCATTTGGCGAACATGATTGTTATCTGCTTCAGCAGTTAGCAGAAAACCGTCGACCAATTCTTGCATGAGTTTATCCTCCGCCATCAGTAGCTGATTCAGCCTCTTAATCCTCCGCAACTCCTTTTTCTTCCATTTAACTGATAGTTTCCTTGCCTTTAGCCACCCCGCCATGCGTCTATTCTCGGCTTTCATCCTTGCCAATTCAGCCACCACATTCTCACGAGCGTTTGGTACATCCTGATTGCGCAAGCAAAATATTCAAAACTATTTATTACTAAAAAAAAACGAACAAATAGAAAAGCATAGGAAAAGTTAAATTGCAGGGTTAAGTATAAAGTGGATACGAAGACTCACAATGCTAGATTTTTCATAAGACAATTGAAAGAGGCTGAAATAAAATTTCTAAACTTGTCAAAAACACTCTTTGATTATCTAGAGTATAAAGTGGCTTCCATATGAAAACTTACGCATTTAACTTAGTAATCACGTTGGCCCCTACAAATAAAATTTTAGTGCGTTTTCTTTTATGATAATATGTTGCTGATTTATTTAGGTTCAATTTGGTTGATACTTTTGTTATTCACTTTTTATTATTCATCTTTTTTTGTTAATTTATTTTTATCTTATCTTTTTTATTTTTATTTGTTTTTAAAATTAAATAAATGAAAATATCAACCAAATGAAGTTTTAAAAAATAAAAATATTTGTAATACTTGAAGCTATTCTCAATAACTACCCTCAATAAGGATGTAAACAAATAAGGCATCCACTTTTTTTAGGAACCCGACTCTGAATTTGTTAAATTAAGAAAGGTACTCAAATCTTATTAAAATCCCAAATAAAATCAGAAAATTCTTTATAAAATCAAACCTTAATAATATATCATTATCCTCTAATTACCCTAATCCATTAAATACTCAATTAAATAATTAAAACAACAATTTAAATAACTAAAAACTATATAAAAAATTAATTTTAGATTTATTAGTTTACAAAAAAGAACGTTGGTTAAGAGCATAAAGGTTGTGTTAAAGGTAGAGAGGATAAAGATTTGAAGGATAGAAATTACAAATTTTTAAAATAACATATTATAATATTAATATATGTATATATAGGTATAATCAAGAATATTAATATTTATGTATAATCATATTCAGGTTTAGGATAAGGATGATATCTAAAACCTATCAAATTTTGAGTCGAATATTAAAGACTTACTTGAATTCATTCTATAACTAAATATAAGATACCTGAACCCTATATTATTGGATTGAATATCCACGAATATCTATATAGTAGCAACTCATTTACATATGTAACCCTCTTCCCTAATTCTCAATAGCAATTTCTATAGGGTGGAGCTGAGGCGAGAAGGGAAATTCACTTTGTTAATTGGGGTCTATATTCCTGCACAAGGATTGTGAGGAACTCCAGATTAGGAATTTTCGACTGTGAACATCAAACTCTTCTTAACAAGTAGATTTGGAGATATGATGACTAACCTAACAACCTATGGAGATCCGTGGTGGTGGAAAAGAATGGTAAGAACCTTTTGGGTTTGATTCCACACGATGACGGTCGTAGGAAGGTCCCCACTCTATGGAGAAACATTGGAAAAACATACTGAGCCCTTTATCCCCAACTAACAAATAATTTAGCTTTGTGTTTGTAGAGATGGGATTCATGGTCAGTGATGTTAGTAACATCTCCTTGTGGTGGTGGCACGATGAGTGGATTATGGGCTGACGCTTAATATTACCTTTCCACGTGTTTTCAATCCTAAGGTTAACAAGGTTGACACTCCAAACATGTCGAATCACGGGTCAATAATGTTTGCCTGTTGGATTTTCGCCTTAGAAGGAGAACTTTTAATTGAAAAACTAGCCAATGGTTTTGATGGCAACAGACCTTAGAGATATCCTCCTTGGAGAAGACTAGCAAGACAAACTCAAGTAGAGGTCTGTTTTCGACTAAATTCTTCTACACAATTGTGGCGAGTAATAATGGGGTAAATAAGGACTTACGAAAATGGATATGGATCGGGTTTTTTGCTTTGAAAGTTAGAGGGTTTCGTTGGCTAGCGCCTAAAGGTAAAATCTCTATAAAAAATGACTTGGTGACAAGAGGGTTGTTGTGTAGCAACTCGGCTAGTTGTGTCCTCTGCCATAAGAAGTTTAATTGAATAATAAATCATTTATTCTTTGCATGCTCTGAAACTTGGAAAATTTGGTCATTATGGTGTAATGTGTGGAGGCTTATTTAGATGGCCTTGAGGGAAACAATCGATTTCTTTATGGCATGGAACTGTCATCCAGACGAGTGTAAGGAGACATAAGGCCTGAAGGATGGCTTTTTTCGTCATTTTATGGTCTATATGGTCGTATAGGTCTGATAAGCCTCCTTTGTGCCAACGCTTGGCCTGTTGTGACAGTGGTAGCTGGTGATGCGAAGGGGATTGGGTTTTCGTTGATCGTCGGCATGGGGCCATTCTCTGGCGCCTCTGTTGGCTTCGAGCAGGCTTGTTTTGGGGCTCGCTGGTGGAATCGTCTGCCGAAGTTGCGGTTTTCTTTTGCTCCAGGTTGCTCTTAGGGAAGCTGTGGTTTTCCTCGCTCCAGGATTTGTTTATGGTGCGGTCTTCCTCTGTTGTAGGATGCCCTTTGTTTTTGATGTCTCTTAGGACATGTCCTACTCTTTCTCTGCTGAATGATCTTGCATAGATTTGACACTAGGCTCCTCTTCCTCATCTAGTTAGCCATCTCATTGTGTATACGGAACTTAGGACCTCATCTCTTTTGTTTAATGGAGATGCCACCGCGAGTCTTTGAACGTTGAAGACTAGCTTGGGCTTCTCTTCCTTTTCTCTGAAATGAAATGCGCATTTTTAAAAATATATATATATATATTTCTGACACAGGGATGCGACTTTGTCAACGGTGAGATCTAGTTATTCGAATCCTAATCGGACTTTCATAGTGGCCAGATCTGGCCACAGACTTCCCAGATCTAACAATTAGCAGGCTTATATAGCCGATGGGCAAGGCCAGCCGTTAGCATACCTGAGCGGTGCAATATTCCAGCTTTAGCAACGGCCAATAAGAAGGCTATTTTTTTATTTTCGTCTTAGATCTGGATAAGATTAAAATTTAATAAAAGATACGCGACAAAATGGTCTTAAAAACTTTTATTTTTCAGATCCTAATAACCTTTTATTGTAAAAGTTTAAAAATAACTGTTCCGGATCCATTAGAAATAACCCTATAAGTAGCAACTTTATGGGATACAAGATTGAAGCCAAAAATAACATCCAATAAGAGTAATCAAAGATTTAATTGAGTTTTTAAAAAAAGAATAACCAAAGATTGGAATAATATTACAACTAAACCCAACACGTGCAAAGCTTCAATTTTTAAGTTTTCAACACAAAATCTTTTCTCCTTTCGTCGATAAACGAAAAACAACATTATCAGAAAAGAATAGAACGTCAAAATTATAGAAAGGAAATCTCACCATCCAAGAATAAATTGAAAGCTCAAACGATCTAAGATCGGTTCGGAGATCTGGAGAGAGTGGTGGGGGTGGGGGTGGGGGAGATGCTCCTACCGAAACGTTGCTCTTTTGCAAGAATTTATAGCAGAAATAGTTATCTGGAACCCTCTGTTGCAGCAAAGAGCAATGACGCGGAAATTTAGCAAACTCAAGACTCTTGCGAGTTTGGTCGGCAAATTGACTTGGTCAACTCCCAGCAACTGGTTTTTGATTCCAATATATATGTATAATCTATTACATAAGTAAAAAGAAGCTTTAAAGGTGCTTCCTTCTTAAGTTACGTGTGCAACGCACAGGTCAGAGTCTAACAGTAATATAATTGCAAACCCTAACATTTGATAATGTGTCCCAATAGATAACCAAATAATTACTTCTAACATTTCATCTATTTATAAGTTATTTAATGCATTTACACAACATCCACTAATAAAGACTAAATGCTCAATTTGGGATCAAAATTTTTGAATTTTTATCAATTTAAAATTAAACGTTTCAATTGTAATAATTAATGATTAAATATTTTTTATTTTTTATAATTAAAAGTTAAAATGAGATATATGATGCGTGTAGTACACACGCATGACATAGACATTAATTTAAAAGTATAAAATACAGAAAGATAGTTTTGTCAAAAAGCTTTTTTGTTAAGTAAAAATGATTTAAATTATAGCATAACATATAATAATTTTTTTATTATGACTTGTAAAAATTAAATTTTTTAACATGATGTATAATAATTAAAATTTTAATATAACATGTAATAATTATATTTTTTTAACCTGACGTGTAATAATTAAATTTTTTAATATAATATATAATAATTAAAATTTTCTAATAATCAAGCGCCTTTCCATGAGCGGCCAACAAAAGACCTTAATCTTGGAAGGTGTCAAACCAGACCATATCATCTTGCAATGATCTGCATGGGGTGTTCGTAAGTAAAACTTGGTGACAAAATGATTTGGAGGAATAGTCACCTTGAGGGTCCATTTCGAAATGAGTTTGTCTTGAAAATCTTTGTCCATCACTTGATAAAAAAAAAACAGAGTTGAAGCAGTCCCAATACTCACCTTCTTGACCAAAGACATTGTTTGAAGTTCAATTTTCCAAGCCCAACTATTCCCGGCCATTCCCCAAAATCACAAATCTTTCCATATTTTTTAAGTGCAAATGCAAAGACTCTTAAAAAAACAGATTTGAGAATGAAACGTTTCGGTCCATTCCTCTTTCTAAAAATTGATTTTACTACCATCACTCCAAGAGAATTAAATGCCATTGGAAACAAAGTTACCGTACTCATAGTAACTACAAATAGCTTTTTGAGCAATAATTGTTTTTTTTTTTGTAATTGTATAGGTTTTCTTTGCCCATGCCAATTCTTTATACTATTAAAAGTCTTATACTAATTAAGTAAGAGATTTAAAATGACACATTGATTCTCAAAGCTAATAAATATGCTTTTTAAAAAAACAAAGTGTAAACGGAATCATATAATTAACTCTAAATTGACTCTCATTCACTCAGTTATCTTTGATTAACTATAACAAAAAAATTTTAATTAAATATTAAAGTAAGGAGAAAAAGCAATAGACATAAGTAACACTCAATAGAAATTATTCTCAATTTCTTTGCAATTAGCCATAGTGATTTATTTTTAAAAAAAAAGTCAAAAAATGTCATTAATATTGTGAAAGAAAATTATAAACATCCATGAAATTGCAAAAAACCCAAAAAAAAAAACAAGAAAAAACCAGTCGGAATATCATCCCAATGGAGAAAGCCTATAACTATTATCAAAAAGAAAAATTGATTTTTAATTTGCTTCAAACTGTAAAAGAAAATTTTGTGAAAATGAGAATCAACCGATCTTGAAATTATTTAAACAAAGGTGGGAGGGAGAAACAAAAGAGGGAGAAGAAAAGTAGAATGAAGAAATCCAATAGATGGACCGTTGGATTGAGAGTGGAAGGTTGCTTCAATTTATCCCAAAAAGAAAAAAAGAAAGAAAAGAAATTTTTCTTTGTTTTCATTAAAAAAAAATCTAATACTCATTATTTCATTTGACAAAAACATATCATCAAATAATTATATATATAGTAATAAAATGTTAATCATATATAAGCATGAGTTTTGGCATAATCTTACATATAAACAATTGTAATATTAAAGTGAAATACTAATTCGTTAAATAAAATATAAAATAATAAGGTGTACGATTTGCTTGTAGAAAAATTTACATAAGACAACCTACCAAGTGGCATCGGTGAAAACACGCCACCGTAGGTCTATGGATTGACCAAGACTTTCGGGAAAAAGCAAACGAAGTGATATCGAGAAAAGATTGACAGAAGGCACATGGCAGACAAAATGCACATGCAACTTCAGAGAAAAGTGGATTAATTGCTTTGGTAATGTAGTCGCCCGTCTATGGGCCAATGCTCGTACGATTTTACCACAATCGAGCGATTGCTTCCCAGGTAGACAGGCGATTATCACCGACCTCAAGAGTAGTTGAAAATGACGTGCTCTGCTAGGATGCTTAAGGAAAACGCCGCCGAACTGAACGGACAGCCTACTGTACAGCCAACTCTAACATTTCTCTCGGTTTCACCCTAACTTTCCACTGGTTTTTCTCCCTTTGTTTCTTTCTTTCTTTCTGTTTTTTAGGTTCTAATCTATCCTTAGGAAGAACAAAAGGATTTTTGTATAATTTTAAGACTTTCTAATTATAAAACAAAATTGTTTGATTTCTTATCATATTTGTCAGTTTCTATTTTATATGTTTAACTTATTTGGTAGATTAGAAAACATTTCATTTTAATGGTTGTATATTAAAATTAAAAAAACTTAATAATTTTTAAGACCTACAAAATAAAAAAAAATCATAAAACTCATCAATATAACAAATAAAAATAAAAACATTAGGTGTTTAAAAACAAAGAAGATGAAGGGAATATTAATGTTTTAAATTGCCAAATGCATATTAGGATAGATGGGTGCCTAAGGCAATTGTGTAATTGGCTACTTTGCTTGGCCTTAGAATTGATCAAAAGTGTACTTATAGTTCGGCTTAATTTCATTCTATGACCAAGCTTCGAATGTTTGTAAACTAATATATATATATATATATATAGTATAATTCAAGACTCAATAAACAGCTATATATATATATATATGTACAATTAATGAAATGATGAGTTAATGGTGTTAGATCGAGAAACTTTATGAATGATCTAGGCTTGTAAATATCTGATCATCCCAAGGAAAAAAATTGAACCTAATGGCTTGATCGAACTGATCAGGCAGGCTGCTATTGAAGCAACAAGCTGATAATTGAACACCCAGGTTCAACTCAACACAGCTGCGACAAAACTAACCCTTGGATCAGATCAACACCAAAACTTCTCCCGGAAAAAAGAAGAAAAAAACAGAAGCACTCCTTTCTCAACATATGAGAAAGAATTGTGCTTGATGCTCTAATCCTAATGACAAGAGAGATAGAAAAAAGGAGTTCTCACTGAGGAGGAAGTGGCAATGACGCAAAACACTTGGCTTATTTATAGGCACGGAAGGTTGGGAAACGCATTTCTAAGCCACGTGTTTCTTTGACTAAGGAGCGGCAAGCATTTGTCGTTTTGTTCACGCCGTACTCCAAGAACGAGTTTTTTATTTCTTCCAACTGTCAAAAAGCCACTTCTCAATCGGGCTTCGGAGCCAAGAAAGCTCTCTTTCAATTTTTTGGTCTAAACCGGTGCCAAATTGGGCCAAGTTTCCATGGGCAGCTCTAGTTGTTGGGCATTCTCTCAAATGGACTTCGTAACAACAAATAAATTAGGATCCATTAAAATGGAGGTTCCTGCTAGGTTCTTACTCAATCGTTCCAACACTATCCCATATCTAGAAGGACCAACTTGCTATTACTAATAAAGCTGTATCTATGTTTCAATCACTTTCCTGCCGCAAAAACCCAATCCAATGAATCCAAGTTTTATCACTACGAAGCAAGTACAAGTGCTTTTTTTCTCTCGATCTATCAGATTTTTTATTAACAGAAGTCTGATACAAAACCATGGCAAGTTCAGGATTGACCAAACCTGAATGGTCCTGACAATATAAGCAAAAGGCCTTAACCAGAATCACATCATCATAAAACTTCCGAAAAAAAAAAATCACACCATGATGCAGAAAACCAGATTCAAGCAATCAAAACAGACAAAAGAAACAGAGCATACGTTTGGCAAATTACAACAAATAAGAAATATTCCATGTGCTTGACATTTTCAAGAGTACAGAATTTTCTCACAACCCACCAAAACTCAAATTCTATTTCCGTGATTATGATCTCACTTTTCATGCTTCGGATCACTATATAAAATTGGAATAACCCATACTCTTTTAAGGTGTTCTATGCTTAATTTAATAAATCATGTTTATATCTGTTGCTTGCATGTTTTTTTTTCTCTTTTTAAAAGGATGTAATCTCGAATTATTGGATACCAAAAAAGAAACAAAATCCTTCTGAAAAAAAAAATCATAAGCATCTCTGTCTCTTGTCAGTCAACAGAAGTGTCACAAACACTAAAAAAGTCCAGAGGTTACATCTTTTCATCCTCCTCAATTTTCTAAGACCCTTTTGGCCTTTTCCCTAACATTCTAGACATATAGTAAAAGTAGTAATAACTATCCCAGAAACTTTAATTCGCATAGCTATACATTTCTCTTTTGATCATGAATCTAATTCTTTTAGTTAGCTTAAGCCTTTATATTATGGTTGAGATTTCAGGGGACAGCCCTATCAAAATTTTGACAGAATAAGTCAAGTCATTAAGAAAGTAACTTGTCCTGAAACACATCATCAATTAAAAGCCAACCCTACACGTCCTTGTAAAAAGAAAATCAAAAGAATTTCTCGGTCTCTCTTTCATGTCAGTAAAGAGAAATGTCATAAAAACAAAAGTCAAGAAAAAACCCATGGGGGACATTAGCCTTAAATGACAAGATCTTGGAAAGGATTATGCAATATCTCTTGCTCTCTGGTCAGTAAAGGGACATGTCAAAAAGAAATGGAGTAACCTCGTTTTGGGAATCGGGACAGTCTCTCTCTCTTTCTCATATATTTGGTTACCAAGGAATCTCCCTATTTTAAACAAAAGTTCGCACGGCAACTAACATTACTTTTTTTTCTTAATTGATTTTCACGGAATTAAGAAAACTTATTAATTTTAGTGTATTTTATTTAAATCTTAATTTTTATAAAACTAATGTTCTATGCTTCTTAACATCAAATAAGAAAAAG